AAGGGGCCCAACCCCCTTTTCCCTTTTTCTTCCATTTCCCACCCAACCCCCCCAAATTTTCCCCCCAACCCCCCCCCCCCCCCCCCCTCTCGCCCCCCCTCCTCCCCCGCTCCCCGACCCCCACCTCCACTCCCATACAAATACAAATTCACCTCCACAGTACCTCTCCTTCCCCCTTCCCTCTCGCATCCGTGTTCCACTCTCTGGCACCCCAAAAAAAAACACATCAACCTTCGACGTCTGCTGAAGGCTACCATCTTCCATCCTCCCTTCTTTTAATTCTTCGCTGTCTTCCTGAACTCATTCACATCATCCGTTACGTCTCCCATATCAATCCCTGTCTTCCCCGTCTCCCCCCTCCCCGTCTCCATCCATCATAACCTCGGTCTCAAACAACAAACACATTGACCAAACTCACCCCTCTCTCCCCACTCCCAGTACCCCATCAGAAAACATTCCCTTTCCTCGTTCACACCACCACCCGTCATTCTCCAAGTTTGTGCTTCCATCCACAATACTATCCCTTCTTCCATTATCCGCCTTTCGCAGACACTTCACATTCGCTCCTACCCTGTTTGTCAAACACAATCTGCCACACCTCCTTTCACTTCTTCCATGACGAGCATCCATCCTCACATTAGACTTGATCCCAACCCGGTCACTCTCAGCTAATGTCGCGGAATCCCCATCAACGGCTTCCCTACGGACATCCTACCCAACCTCCATCGCATCCTCAGCAGCCCCAGCGTCAGCGACAACAACAATCTCTTCATCCCCACACCCATTCCCAACCTCAACAGCATCATCAAGACCATCAGTCCCCACTACCACACATCGGAACAACCAACTTTCCTCCCTCTACTGCACCACACTCGGCCCAAGGTCATAACCTCCCGCAACAACATTCTCTCACCCCAATAACGCATCATATCCCCATGCTTGCTCGACATCCCGATCCCCCACCGCAACCGTCAGCACCACCCCACCAGCAATCTTCCGGCCAAGAGATGAACATGTTTGAAGTTCTTGGCCCTTCTCAAACGCAGAATCCTGCACTATACCAAGAACCTCAGGATCTAAATCAACCTAGCATGCCGCACCCAGCCTTCCCAGGCGCAACAGCTCAACAGACTCAACTAACAGATGTTTACCCTCAACAACCTGTACACAGTCGTCCACAATATGTTTCGTCCATGTGGCCACCTGAGCACCCCGTCCAGTCTCACCAACCGCACCCTCAACCCCCGGCAGTGTTGCAACGTCCTCAGCCCCCTCTTCATCTCCATCAGCAAATGCCGAAATATGACCCTCACGCTAGTGCACCCCGCTCTGTCCAATCGAAGCGAAAGCGCTTGATCGATCCCACCCCGCCACAAATTTCGCCACCGCACCCTAATCGAGAGACCCCGGTCGCATCAACCCCGAAGCCGCCAGGGCATGGGACCTCCACTGATACACGGCAAGGAAAGGAGCGCGTTCAAAGAGCATGCACCAACTGCGGAGAGATGAATCACATTCGAAAAAACAAGTGCTCGAGATGTGGCACGCCGAAGGAACCCGCGAAGAAGCGACCAAGGCGCCAGAGGAAGAAGAAAACACCGCCGCAACCGCAGCCCGCATCAAGCAACCCGATGCAAGCATCTGGCTCTATGTCGACACCACACCGTCAGGGTATGCCACCGGAAGCAAACGTCATCGCACCTGTCAACCGCTTGCAACCTTTCACTCAAAGACAAGACCCACGGCAAGGTGGCATGCAACAGGTTTTTGACCCTCGAGCCCTGACTTTTCAACAGGGGCAGCCACAAGCCTCGAATACCGTGCAAACGCATTCTGCACATGCTCTGCAGAGAGGACAAAGACAGGCGCCGGAATTTCCCTTGGAACCTACCTTTGAAGAAAATCAAGGGACTTTTTCTCACCAGTACAGAGAGAGATAACTAGCCGCCGGCGCCGTCCTAATGAAGTTAGGACGTAATGACTGTTGTCGCGAAGGAAGCGTCATTATTCCTTCAGCCGTGATTGTAACTCTCAGTGATGCGTTGCGCAACTGTTCTCAGCTGTTTCGGTATAATTCGACGAAAAGGACAAGTTGTGCCAGCTGGCGTTGAAATCAGACATCTGCTTCTGTCGCCTACGAGAATGAGAGAGTGCACCAGTGGAAGAGCGGCATGTGTGTGGACGATATTTGTATGAAGTATGACGTTTTTCTGTAGATGCAGCGGTGCTTTTCGACTTCACAGGTCATACTTGAATGAATGCGAGCGTGTTAGGTACCTTTTCCTCGTTCCAGAGTTGTGTCGAAGGTGTCGTCGGATCGTAACTGCCACGTGTACGAGCGAATAGTGAAGGAGGAGCGGTCACATGTGCTATTGAATTTTAGGGACACAATTTTGACTACTTGACGGCCAGTTATCACGTTTCCCAGGCAAGTAAAGCGAACTGATGTTGGGCCTTTCCTCTACCCTTCCGAGTACTTCCTTCGACATCTGACGACGAACGCCTGTTTTGATTGATCGGATATCTGAACAGCGGCGTAGTTGGGGTCGTTCCCTCGCATATACTGTTGTTCTCAGGTGCTGCCTCGTCTGCATCAAGGAGGACTGTGTCAAGACTACCTTTTCTCGTAAGTCCACAACCACATGTCATAAGCGCTTAGCGCTGCGCTCTTTTCTGGCTTGATTCCAACGAGTACGTCGGATGGTCGGATGGCCCGTTGATCGAAGCCGAGCCTTTTGAGCCTTGAACATAACACGCCGAAAACCCCCCGGCGGAGCGCTAGCGAGGATCCTTTTCTCTGCAAGTGTGAGTGTATAGCTCTTTAAATTTAAATACACCCACTGTGAAAGAAAAGAAGACATTCAGGTATAACACTCTCTCCGTTTACCCGAGATGCAGCGGACCGCTCATCGGACTCTGGGACAAATTGGTCAAGCAGGGTTTTGTGCTGAGGGGCTGTTTGAAAGCGCACGCGACTGTATGGACTTCAACACGGAGCACTTCAATGTTGAAGTAAGTCGACGTCTGTGGGTTGCGAAGTATACAGTGCTTTTTTTTCTTTTGGCGTAATACGAACATGGAGGGGCCGCTCGCTTAGCAAAGCTTTCAGAAGTGGTCACGGGCCAGTGACATTATATCGGTGGTACAGTAACGATACAGTACTGATATTTATTTCACATTATATTGCTTAATCACGCTGTGCTATCGATGAGCGAGTCGACTCTAATCGCACAGGGAGATGTTGACTACAGTCAGCTCGCGATAACTGCAACCTCCGATAACTGCAACCCCTTGATAACTGCAACAGTTGGACGTCTCCCAGCACGGGACCCTGTAAAATATTAGCAAAAAACTACATCGTTGCACACGTTGATATCTGCAACGGCCTTTTGGGCGCCCGAGATTTGACAAAAAGCAATGAATGCACTCCGAAACGTCTGCAAAAATGTAAATGAAAGTTTTAAAATGCGCAAAGCCGCGGCAGTGCAACTTCGGGCAACTGCTCTTGACTAAGCGAGCGCATTTGGGGGTGAAACGGAGACGGAAGTGGTGCCTTATTTACAGTAGAGCATTACAGAGGACTCCGGCAAAAATCCGAGAACAGGTGGTCAGAGAAGGACAGGTGCAGATTAAGATGGATAGTTTTTCCGAATAAAATATGAGGTTTTTGTCTTGCGATTTCATTGGCTTAGAAGTTTCCTTATCATACCACTCCGATAACTGCAGCACCAGGTGGTCTCCCAGGTGTTGCAGTCATCGCGAGCTGACTGTACAGCTGTTCTTGTTGACCAAAACATTAATCATCATCATGACCTCTTCTGTCACGCAGGCCCCTTATTATTCCCGTATTTCAGTGACGACCACCAATAGAGAGACAGTGTTGCGCCAGAACGGTTCTCTGCCTTCACTTGTAGTGCGCCGGGCGCCTGCTGCCTGGTGACGTGTGCTGCCTGTACACGTCCGCGTCCGCATCTGAATCATGACATACCGTTGGCACAGGGGGGGGAGAGGGGGGGTGGGCGTGGTCGCTACTACACTGATCACAGCAATTAACCTGGGCCAACTTAATTCTGAAGCCCCTTTTTCAGGTCTATAACCATATTTAACATGGTCCGGATTAATTGTGAACCCAGATTAATATATGGTCAAATCAGATATAACATGGTCCAGTTTATTTGTGAACCACTGGATTAACCTTGATTTCTAACATTGCTGACAAGTATTCAAGAAATTACGGCTCCACTTCTTGCCCATTGAAATGGACACGATGCTTGGATATTATTGTCTGCAGCTCAGAAAAGAGCTGCTTCTCTTCCCCAAGACCATATCGAGGCGGCAACATGCGTTCTCGCCCTTTTGGAACTCTAAATGCGACTTATCTTAAGACTGTTTCCTCCAGGCCAAAACCAATAATAACCTGGTCCAGTTTATTTCTGAACCCAGGTTAATATATAGACCAAGGTTAATTGCTGTGATCAGGTGTAGCTAGACATCGCATTGTGTATTGCACACCGTACCCTTGAATGGTCGACTTTATTGAGAGAGTATTGGGGTACCCTTCGAAGGGTAGTACCGTAGCACCCTTGCATGCTTTGCGACGACCCTACCACGTGGCAGCTTATGAAGTACAGCTGTTCACTGCTCACATGAGCAGTGGGTACCAAAACTGTCGGGAGTGACAGACCGCACACGTGTACATCCAATGGAATCAGTATAAGTAGCATGTAGTGAAACCCAACACAGGAGGTAAAAGGAGTCATCGTTCCCACAGGTTATGCGCCCATACGCTCGCGATCACCTTCCTCTTTACCAACCGACGTCCTCGCCTTTCCAGCACACCTACCATCAACCTATCGACCACGCTCACCTCACTTTCTCCATTCCCAAACAGCCACCACGACGCCCCCTACCGACAGACTCCTCCGCCTCCGTCGCCGCCACGATCAAGCAGAAGCACAAGCTTCCATCCAAGAGCTACTCCGACTCGCCCAACTCACACAATCAGACAAACACACCCCCTCAGACACAACAACACACACCATGGACCATATCCCGAAAATACAACTTCCCACCCTTGACCCCGACAACCATAACACGTGGAATCTAGCACTCTGTGCCCAAGCCGCAGCCATGGATGCACTAGAACACATTACGTCCAATCCGACTCCTCCAACCGATCCTGCCCTCCTTAAAACGCATATTCGACACAAGAACATTATTCTCGCATCGATTCTCTCCTCAGTCCCGACATCCATCCTCAATCTCATTATTCAGCCTGATTCCGATCCCTCTCCCCACGACTTACTCCAAGCCATTCATGCCCACCTCCTCACCAACACGTCCAACGACCATAAATTTCTAAGAGCCCAAGCTGAAGCCACAATACCCCCCGACATGTCGATCAACGAGTATATCACCGCACACGAAGCCATCAGATCTAAAATGATCGCATCCCGTTACCCCGACATCAGCAACCAAGCCACGACCGTGGAATTTTTAATCGATGGCATGCGCCACCACCCCATGACTGCCGAAATTGGCCGACAGCTGCTCAGCCTCAACCCCTCAACAGTCAAAGACTACCTACACAAATACATCCGACTCCAAAACTATAATAACACCACCCAACCGATCATCACATCACCGCAAGGCATGCAGCACGGGCCTCCAACGTACCCATCCCCACAGCTACACGCACCGTACCAACCTCAATCATACCGCCAACCCCGCACCTGGAATCGTACACCCCTCCCACC